ATTGCCATTTTAGAAACTTATTTAAGAAAGTATCTGTTCATGTCTTTGCTGTTTAATTGGCTTGTTTAATTTCTTTTTTATTGAATTTTGAGAGTTTTTTAATAAACTGGAGAAAAGTCATTTGTAGATATGTGATTTTCAAATAAGAAAATAGTAGATATAAATCCAAAATAATTAAATGATAGCTATAAATCTGAATATATCCATATTGCATTAACTATGCATATATATGTATATATATATATATAGAGAGAGAGAGAGAGAGAGAGAGAGAGATACATATATATATACCCTCTCTAGTCAATAGATATAACAGGAAATGGATCGCCTGGGTGGCTCAGTCAATTAAGCATTCAAGTCTTGATTTTGGCTCAGGTCACAATCCCAGACTCCTGGAATGGAGTCCTGCATGGGCCTCTGCACTGACAGCGTGAAGCCTGCTTGAGATTCTCTCTCTCTCCCTCTCTCTGCCCTTCCCCGCTCATGCTTTCTGTCTCAAAATAAATGAATAAACTTAAAAAAAATAGATATAACAGGAAATCAAATAAAGAAAATCAATGAAGTCAAAAAATGTTTCCTTTAAAAGATCAGGATGATGGATAAACATGTCGCTAAACTGACAAAGAAAATAAAAGAGAAAACACAAATTTCCCACCCCCAGAATGAATGAGGATGTGTCTCCACAGACACTGTGGTTAGTAAAAGAATAATAAAGGTATGTTACCAACAACCCTGAACGATGTTAAAATAAAATAGAATGGAGACCAGGTTTGACAATCCCTCAAGCAGACAAAACCATTTAAGCCATGTAAGAAAAACTTAATCCAGCTTATTTCATGAACATAAGAGCAATTTACCTTAGATTGTTTCTTGTAAATGTCATAAAAGAAACTTAAGTTGTTATCCTAAAATGATGCAAGATAATCAGCATTAGGCAACCCCCTGCCATCTGGAACCCCCTGGTGTAATAACCAGTCATTGTAGAGTTTAAACAGCTTCCTCATTTTTCACTTTGTAAGCCACCCAGTATAATCATGCCTCTAAGCTTCATGTTCGTTTTGGATTTGAAGTATCTCTGCTCACAACTGGTTTATTTCTTGCTTAATAAATTATTCATATCAAAAGCAAAGCTCTCTAAATCTTCTTCTGACAATACATAAATTCAACAACTTAGAGAAAGGAAACAAGTTTCTTGGAAACTACCACAACTCAACCCAGATAAAATCACTTGAATAATCTACTACTATTAAATTGAGTTAATAGTCAAAAACTTTCTGAAAAAGACATCTCCTGGTCTCGATGCTTTCCCTGGTACCTTCTAACATTTATGAAAAAAAAAATACATCAGTCTTTCATATCTCTTCCAGGATATAGACGTAAGCTTCACATTATGCACAAATTAATGCATAATGAATCATAGATTTAAATGTACAACAAGAAACTATAAAGCTTTAGTTTTAGTTTTCACTTAACCATTACTGGAAGTCCTTTCCTGAAAGTCACTTCTTTTTGAACCCATTTCTTTACCTATAAATTGGAAGACTAGTATCTCATTAATCAGTACCCAGAAAAGTGTTGCAAATATCAAAAGAAAAAAGGCATATGCAAACTATTATTATTATTCTACAATAATATTTCTCTAATCTTCGATCAGATAATACCCACCATTCAGATATCAATAAAGAAGATATTTCATGCGGTGGTGAGTTCTTGAGAAATATCACGATTCAGAGAAAGCAAGCTGCCAGATCTAGATTGCTAAGTTAAGTTTAATAAATAACTCTGTGTTTAGAGCAAATTGTTCTCAGTTTGTGCTTAATAAAATGAAGTTTATTTTCTTTTATATTTTATTATTATTGTGTATACCCTTATTAGTGCACCCTTTTAAGGGGAATATTATTGTTGTGTGCAAGATTTATTACTATGGTCTATGTTTTTAGAACTTGTTCTTTAGTAAATTTAAAGAAGGAGGCATATAGCAGTGGAAAAATTTCTAAGTGTCTAGAAAGCTGTCGTTTATTGGGGAAGCAAGAGAATCTAGTTAAAAGATACAGGAGAGAAGTGTGAAGGACAATGTCCTGCCAGTAAATTTGATGACTCAGATTAAATGTACAGGTCTAGTGACTCAGGAGTATAGGTTGCATGGTCCCTTTAAAACAATAAGCTTAGAGTATTCTAGAATGCCTTTCCTTTGGTTATGAATAGAACCACAAGGCAAGTTCATCAGAAAACTAGGTCAGTAACCAGACGATGAAGTGTGAGTGGGAAGCTCGTGGGAATGATGGACAATGGGGCATGGGAGGTTTGCCAAAGCCAGATTTCATCACCCTTTTCATTCCTAAAAGGGAATTTCTGAGAACTCAGAAGATTATGCCTTGGGTTATACTTTCAAGAGCACAGGTCAAGGATGAGAGTGTTCTCTGTGAGTGAACAGGAGAAAAGAGTGAACTATTTGCCAGTAGAGCAATACTCATCTAAAATAACTTAAAGGAAAAAAATTACCCCCAAATTAGAGAATATCTTAGACTCTATAACAAAAGTATAGCATATCAAAATTTGTAACATACACATAAAGTGATGTTTATTTTACATGCTTAGAGTAGAGGGGAAAAAGTTTAAAATCAATTATCTAAGCTTTTACCTTAAGAACCTAGAAAAAAGAAGAGCAAATGAAATCCAAAGTTAGTAGAAGAAGGGACATAATAAAGGGCAGAAATCAATGAAATCGAAAACAAGCAATAGAGAAAACTAAAAAAACCAAAATTGTGCTTTTGAAAAATGAGCAAATTTAATGAATTCCTAGTGAGAGAATTACCGATATTGGGAATGAAAGAACAGACATCCCTATGGATCCTATGAAAATTGACTTTCACTGCCAGGAAGATGGAGTAAATGTACATTTCCCTATTTCTCCCACTCAGTAGAACAAAAACACCTGAAAATAATACGTAAAAAAAACATAAGAAGATTCTTTCTTTTTTAATATGAAATTTACTGTCAAATTGGTTTCCATACAACACCCAGTGCTCATCCCAACAGGTGCCCTCTTCTATGCCCATCACCCACTTTCCCCTCCCTCCCACCTCCCATCAACCCTCAGTTTATTTTCAGTTTTTAAGAGTCTCTTATGGTACGGAGGCAAACCATAAGAAGATTCTGAAAGAAGTAGGCAGATCAGTTACACAGACCTCAAGACCTGAAGTCTGAGGTGGTGAGTTTGTGGACTTTCTTTCTGCCTGTTAGTTTCCAGACACGGTGCTGGAGAAGCCACTGATGCCAATGGACACAAACTCAAACAAATCTCCAACAGAACCTGCTCTCCCTAGTCCAACGTCCAGGCAAAGGGTGGTCTAGCAAGACAAGTGTTTTAGAAAGTAACTGCTCTACTGTGTCTAAACACCACACGCACACACGCACACACACACACACGATAGCCAAGGTGAACCTGTGCTTCCCACCTTTGCCAACTGAGTAGGGAACTGGGACTTTCATCCTTGCTGGACGGTAATAAAGCCTCTCCTCACTGCCATGTCACTGGAGACCACATGAGAGGCAGGAACTTCCATATCTAAAAGGCATTCATAAAGTGCCCATCGTACGTCCCGCTGGGGTGATGACAGAGGAGACATAGTGGAGAAGTGACTGTATCGAGGTTAAACTCCCCCACCTCTTCGTATGTCACTGACATGAGGAGCAGTGACAAGACATTCAAGATGGAAGAGCCAGTAGAGACCTAGTGGAGAGCAGGAACTTCCACCCCACTCAGCGGTAACAAGAACCCCCCCCCCCCACACACACACACATGCTCGCGCTTTGGGTGTCAAGAGATGCTAAGTAGAGAACCTGAACTTCTACCCCCACCTGGCAGGAATTAGGTGGTGTCCCCTATCAGAGAGGTACCAGAAGAAAGTTTCAATAAGATTCAGAGTCTCATAACATAATAACTAAAATGTCTGGATTTCAACAAAAAGTCCCTTGTCATATCAAGAACTAGTAAGATCTCAAATTGAATGAAAAATACAATCTGTATATACCAACATTGAAGAGACAGAGATGCTAGAATTATCTGGCAAAGACTCTAAAGCATCCATCATAAACATCATAAAATCACTCCAATGAGCAATTAGAAACATGCTTGAAACCAATGGGGAGGAAAAAAAAAGCGAAAGAAGGAAAGCATCAGCAAAAAATAAAAGAAAATAAAAGAAATCAAAAGTCTAAGCGGAGAATTAGAAGATATAAAGAACTCTATAGAAATTTTTGAAATAAAAATATAATGGAAAAGTCAATCCCAAAAGATTGCATTGGTATGATTCCATTTATATAACATTCTTAAAATGAGAAAACTATGGAAATGGAGAACAAGTTAGTGCTTGACAGAGTTTAAGTGGGGAGAGGTGGGTAAGTGTGTCTATAAAAGAACAACATGAGGGATCCTTGAGGTGATGGAAATGCTCTGTGTCTGGACTCCATCAATATCAGTATCCTGGTTATACCATATAGTACTTTTCCAAGGACTCTATATTGGGGGAAATTGGATAAAGAATACAGGGGCTCTCTGTATACTTTCTTACAATGACATGTGAAGCTAGTTACCTGAAAATAAACACATTAATTGAAAAAAACAAGGCATTAAAGCTAACAAAATATCAATTGTTAAGTGCAGTAAAATGATATCATGAACAACTTCATACCAGTAAATTTAATTAGGTATAATGAACAAATTCCTATAAAAACAAAATTTACCATACCTGACACAAGAAGATGCAGAAAATCTAAATAGCCCCCAATTTAAAAAAAAAATTATAATGAAAAATTTTTCCACAAAGAAAATTCTACAGTCAGTTGGATTTTTGGGTTAGTTTAGTGAAACATGTGGGGAATACCAATGTTACACGGAGCTCTTTCAGAAGATAAAGTAGGAAGAAACCCTTCCTAACCCAGTTTATGATGTCAGCATAACTGTGATATCAGAGTCCAATAGGAATATTACAAGAAACAAAAATTAGCAAGTTGAATCCAGTAATATCTGAAAGGACAATGCATAGTAACCAACTGGAGTTGATTCCAGAAATGTAAGATCATTATAATACCCCTTTAATACTTAAACACAGGCACCTCTGTGGTTGAAACCTGATTCTGTGCATGCTTCAGTAGGATGTTGGGAACTGGGATTGTATTTCTAGTAGGTCGAGACCTGCATCCATAAGTCTTTGAAGAAGGTAGAGGAGGAAGATAGAGGTCTTTTATGGGAAGCCAGTTTGCCTTGGGGCAGTCGTGAAATAACATCAATTTTTGGAGTCATTTACCCTGATTTTTGAGAGTGCTAAGATGAAGTTTTCAAATACATCATATTTTGGGTGTTGTCAGCTTCTTCTCTTCCTATACATAGGTTAGCCAAGTTCACTGTTTAAAGCAATGTGACTGTTTCACTTATCAACTTGTTTCTAGTTCCTTCTGGTAGGGTTTTTGCCCATTACCTCAACCTGTGCTCCACTTTCCTATGGCATGCAAAGCCAACTGCTACTTGGTAAGTTGGAGCCATCCTCTCTGAAATACAGCCTAGAGGGGAAATCTCAGAGTCCCTAGTTAAAACACCATCAGATGCTACAAACAGCAAGGAGGTGGAGGCTTTTATAAGAATTGCCAAGGCTTTATTGTTGCAATTCCAGGCTCTCTCCCTCTGCTGTTTCATCCCAGGATTCAGGTATATCTGGGGAGTTGGGGCCTGAGGGATAGGGAACTCTTATGGGCAAGAATTCATTCTAAGGAAAGAGGAGTTGAGGAGGAGAGTAGAAGCTGGAATATTTTATATTAATCCCTAAGAAGATCCCTCTGTCCATAATAGGCCCAGGCTACCCTAGAGAAATTTCAAATGGGCCAAAGCTCCTACAATTCTCTAGCTGGAGACAGTTTGGAAAAAATCTTTTTATAGATTTGGAACTAAAGCTCATGAGTCAGTGAGCAGAGTCCATTTGTATTCCCAAAAGTTCCTAGCCCACTGCCTTGCTCGCGTTGGTAAATCAGTAGCTATTTATTGATTAAGGGTATATTTTCTTGCTCTACAAACCAGGGGAGTGGACTATGATCCTGGCATTATGGAGAAACTGCAAGAATGTGCTGTAAGCCACTGAGCCTCCAGTCTGGGAAAGAAGCTAACAACTAAACTAGAGGGGCTATTTGGAAACAATAACTAAATTATTTTGGCTAAGGATCAATTGGGTAAATGCCAAATGGACTAGGATACTGGTGATCGTGAATAGAACTATGGGCTAAATTCCATGAGAAGAAATGAGGTTGTTTTGAAAAAACGACAGGAAAAGCTAAACAACTTGGTAGCTAAAATGCAAGCAAAATATGCTGTTTTGCTACACAAGAGGTTTTGCTGAGAATTTCTCGTTCATTCCCATTCACATAATAAACACTGATGTTTATTTTGAATGGTATGGATAACATGATGAGTGCTCATTTGGTAGTCAATTTGTGTAGCTAAATACAAGGTGTCTCAATAAAGTTTAAATGCACAATTTAGCATTTTTCCATAGTCAGTTATGTTTTTAGTTGTGAAATATTTAATTTTTCTGATAACCAAAACTTTACGGTTTCCTATGGGTAGGTGAATGCAATTGTATAGTGGGTATTATGGAGCTCTGACAGGTGACTTATCCTGCCTTTGAAATTTTTCCAGGGGCACCTGGGTGGCTCAGTTGATTAAGCGTCTGACTCTTGATTTGGGTGTAGGTCATGATCTCACGGTTCATGAGTTTGAGCCCTATGTTGGGCTCTGAGCTGACAGTGCAGAGCCTACTTGGGATTCTCTCTGCCCTCTCTCTGCTCCTTCCCCACTTGTTCTCCCTCTCTCTCAAAATAAGTAAGTAAGAATTAATACAAAAACAAGTTTCCCCAGAATTCCTGAAGTGCTGGGTGTCAATTCTATGTACTTGCCTGTAAGACTTTCTCAATAGAGGGATTAAGTCTTCAGAACACAAAATGCCAAGACAAAAGCTGCAGGATGAGAATGCCAAAAACCAAATGGAAAAATAGAGATAAGAAAAATATGAAGAATTCCACTTTAAAACAATGGTTCTTTTTAATTGGCTGTAACTCTCAAGTTACTATCTTTTCCCTGAACTATTGCAATTGCCTTTTTTTTTTTTTTTTTACTGTTCTTTCTGTTTCCAGTTTTCACTCACTCTGATCTCTCATACATTTTACCCTCAAATTATCTTTCTGAAGTTCAATTCTGACTGTATCACTCCTCAGCTCATCAGCCTTCAATGACTCCTCATTCTCTGAACAAGGAAGTCCGAACTCGAGCGGAGCATCTGCTCTCCAAACTAGCTTTCCCATTCTGCCTTCCATTATGGTCTTTATAGTTCAATTTCCTTTATGGCCCTTGGAGTCTGGTCAACTGGAAATACTCTTGCTTTATATGTGTACCCTGGGTATTCCTACCTCTACCTATTTGGTTCCTTTGTTTCCAATACTAGAAATGTTTGTGTATTTAAGTTCTACCTAACTTTACAAACCTAGTTCACACAGCAGCTGTTAGAGATTGAACCGTGTACCCTCAAAATTCATATTAAAATTTTTTTAATATTTATTTTTGAGAGAGAAAGACAGAGGGAGAAAGCGTGAGCTGAGGAGGAGCAGAGAGAGAGGGAGACACAGAATCTGAAGCAGGCTCCAGGCTTTGAGTTGTCAGCACAGAGCCTGATGCGGGGCTCAAACCCACAAACCGTGAGAGCATGACCTGAGCCAAAGTCAGAGGCTTAACTGACTGAGCCACCCAGGCACCCCTCAAAATTCATATTTGAAAGGCATACCCCACAGTGTGACTTTATTTGGTGAAAGGGCCTTTCGGGAGGTCATTAAGGGTAAATGAGGTCATAAGGGTAGGGCTGTAATCCTATAGGAGTGATGGCCTTATAAGAAGAGGAGACCAGAGATCTCTTTTTCAGCACACAGAGGACACACGGAGGGAAGAGCCATGAAGAGAGTCCTCACCCGAAATCAACTCTGATACCACCTTGATCATGGAGCTCCAGCCTCCAGAACTATAATGAAATGAATTTCTGCTCTTTAATTCTCTCAGTGTGTGCTATTTTGTTATGGCAGACTGAGGGACTAACATGCCACCTCCTCTGATCAAATCCTCTCTAATCATTACCATTTCCCCATCCTCTAGTCTCATGACATTTTATTTGCGTCTATATAATAGCTCACTTCCCAGCATTAATTACAGGAATTTAATGTATCAGTTACTATTAGGCTTAAGACAGAATTTAATTGTTCTCTAATGTAAAAGCAATGGGCTCTACACCCAGTTTAGATCTGCTATGTAGACCCCTTACTGAAAAAAGACCCAGTCTCGTTCTGTCTTTTGATTTGTCCAGTCCAGTATTTCCATCCAGAAGGTCACCTGATTGTTCAAGATAGCTGCTAAAGCCATATGTGTTCTAGGAAGCAAGACAGTGGAAAGGCCACAAGGGAAAGGGCAGAGGGTCCACCTCTCAGCTCCCTGGAGGAAGCCTTCCCAGAAATCCCAAACAGCACTCAGTTTACATTTTACTAACCAGATTCTAATTATATGTAACACTTCCTTATAAGGTGTGTGTAGCCCATTAGATGAATGATAAGGAGATACTGAACAGTAAATAGCAGTCTCTGGCATTCTTCATATTCATTTTATCACCTCTTGTAGACCGTAATTTCCTTAAGAGCATGTTAATTATATGTGTGCAGCCTCAATAGTATGTAGTACTAAGATCTGCAAATATAGGACACTCAAAACTATTTGTTAAATGAATGAACTAATCAATATTAATTTACTTGAATTGCACACAAAGACCATGTAGGTAGTAGGGAAATCTTTCCTATTTCCTGTTACCTGCAGGGCACCTGAGGGTTTTTTCATGGTAACACTGTCGTTATGCTCTAAATGTTATAGTTTACACCATATTGTCTCAAGATTGAGGTTTCTACTCATTTTTTATAAGGGTCAGATAGCTTATCCGTCAACGCTTTTCCAAAGGCAGCACATTTTTGATGTGAAAATATTTCCATTTCTTTTTGCCCCCAAAAGATCCTAAGAGCATTTTTTTTTCCTTTTAAACAAAGGAAATAACTGTATACTTCCAGGAGAGGAGATGGCGTCTCTACACCTTTCTATCCTAAATTTGATGACTTCAGCACCATCACATAATCAGCCTTCATCTTTTCCCATGGACAGTGGTGAGTTGGAATGGATAAGATGCCACATCATTTTGTTTTCTTTCAAAACCTATTTTCTTCTTTCAGGATGGTGCCAAGTGCATCATTTAAGTTCTTCTTAAATTTTCTACCATCTCTTCTACTTTTTTTTTTCCTTTCCTTTTCCTTGTCCTACTCCCTCATACTCTAAACCAGCATTAAACATCACAAAGGACGATGAAGGATGCATGAGATAAATGTAGGTGATGGGACAGAGATATGGGAGGGGTAAAGTCCCACTCTCTCAATCCTTGCTTTTGTGTCCCAACTTGTGGAGGTACAGGGGACATCTAGCAGAGGTGAATTCAGAGATGGAACTAGGTGGCCATTCTTTGCTACCTCCTTTCCAGTGTCACATTGGACTGAGCCAGGGGAAGCCTGGTTAAGTTGTTGTCCTAATGTGAAAATGTTAGGCTCCCTTTAGGCCCTTCTAACCCATTATTCTGCTCACAAGAATCCAAGTTTCTACTGGAATTTTCTCTGAAAGGCATTTCTTGAAACAGAACACTACCCTGGTCTTACTCCACTGTGTCATACCCCTGTGAGCGCAATCAGCATAGAAGTATTCATACTTAGCAAGGGATCTTTGCCAAATCTAGCAGGAACACATAGAGAAATAGAGGCATCTCTGTTTGTTTATTCTAACTCCTCTTTTCTCCAATATATCCAATCAGATGGACGGTAAATAACATACGTTGTTAATAACATAGTAAGAGCCACGATTATGCCCATTTCCCCAGGAGAGCAACTGAAAGGTCGTCTGTGAATATGTTAACAAGTGACAAATTGTTCACGTCTATTTTCACAACATGTTTTGACTGCTGAAGTTGTTCTATAGCAGTTCATTAAGAGACCCATAAAATATGTAAGTTTACATTCTATAAAAAGATCATCAGGAATTTCTTGGCTGATAGTATTCCTTGTATTAAGCATCTGTTTTCTATTTTCTAAAGGATTGCAGCAGGGGTTGTCCAATTGTATATTAAAAATAGTTGATTTAAGCTGGATGAAAATGTTGTACTTTCTTATTAAAGATTAGTAACCCACCAATGAAGCTTCCTTAGAAGGCAACCAGCAATGTGTATGTAGCACATCTGGTTTCCAAATATTAAAAAATGATAAACACTCACCGATCTAATCCATCTGTTCTCTCCATCTGCATAATTGTCTTATTTTAAAAACTAGGACATGCACTGAACTTGACATTACACGAAGCTGAAGAATTTTGCTCCTCGCTGTCTAGGCAATGGTGAGTGATTGAGGTCAATTTCAGAGGAATGTCATGTTTATTATTGCATATGTAGGCATTCTGGAAAACTCGTTAAAACCCACTTCCGATGTAAAGTAGGCTATCTTTGACTTGACGTTGTGGGTGAGGTCAACTGGATAGATTTAAAATTACAGACTAATGATTTCGATCAAAGAGTTCCAAGAGCTCAATAAACACTATCTAATTTAACACTGTTAACGGTAGCTAGCATTTATTAAGTGCTTAATTTGTGCCCAGCACCATTTTAAGCACTTTGCAGGCATTATTTCTTTTAATTCTCAAAGCAGCGCTTATTAACCCCGTTTTAGAAAACAAAACCTTAGGCTCAGACAGTTAGTGGTTTACCCAAGGCCACACAGCTAGTGCAAGGTAAAGCCATGCTTCATGTTCGGGCAAAACAACTTCAGCACCCATTCCTTTATGTTCTCTGTGATACCGCACACAGAACACTTTTACAAGAATATCAGTCTTCTTAGCCTTAACAGTTCTTTCCTAGGGGGCGCCAGCGTGGCTCAGTTGGTTGGGCATCCGACTTCAGCTCAGGTGATGATCTCACTGTTCATAAGTTCGAGCCCCGCGAACTCTCTGTGCTGACAGCTTGGAGACTGGAGCCTGCTTCAGATTCTGTGTCTCCCTCTCTCTCTGCCCCTCCCCACTCACACTCTGTCTCTCTGTGTCTGAAAAATAAATAAATGTTAAATAAATAAATAAATAAATAAATAAATAAAACAGTTCTTTCCTAAAGACTGTATCTCTCAAATGTTAAGGACTCTTTCCCAACCTGTACCTCATCCATAAATTCATTAAATGATACCATACGTAATAATATGATAGTAACTGACATTTGTTAGTGCTTACTATGTTTCAGAGGTTGTTTACATCTCTTAATCAACTCATCAATTGTTTAACTCAATTAATCCTCAGGGTAACCCTACAAGAGAGGTGCAATTACTACCCCCCTTTTCAAATGAGGAATATGAGGCATAAACAGTTAAATAAAAAAAAAAAGTTAGGGAGGGAGGCAAACCATAAGAGACTCTTAAAAACGGAGAATAAACTCAGTGTTGATGGGGGGTGGGAAGGAGGGGAAAGAAGGTGATGGGCACTGAGGAGGGCACCTGTTGGGATGAGCACTGGGTGTTGTATGGAAACCAATTGGACAATAAATTTCACTAAAAAAAATAAAATCAGTTAAGAGAAGAAACAAAGAGAAAAAACAGTTAAATAATTCATTCAGATCAAACAACTAGGAAATGAAGGTTCCAAGATTTCAGCTCAGGAACTCTGCCCCTAAACCTATACCAGAAATCATTTGCTAGGCATGTGCTGGGGGCCATGGGAAGTCGTGGATGTCCAAGAATAAGTAAAACATGGTCTGCTTATTTCAGTTAGCGTATTTTCTTTTTTTCCCCATTTTTTAAAGTGTTTTTAAAAAATTTACTTTTGAGAGAGAGAAAGAGAAAGAGAGAGAGAGAGAGAGAGAGAGAGAATGAGTGGGGGAGGGGCAGAGAGAGATGGAGATCCGAGGCAGGCTCCAGTCTCTGAGCTGTCAGCACAGAGCCTGATGCAGAGCTCGAACCCACAGATTGCAAGATCATGACCTGAGCCGAAGTCGGACGCTTAACTGACCAAGCCACCCAGGTGCCTCAGTTAGCATATTTTCAAGGGTCAATCGTGTTGGAGTACCCGTCAGGACTTCAGCCTTTTTTTTATGGCTGAATAATATTCTATTATATCAATAGACCATATTTGGTTTACCATTCATCGTTTGATAGACACTCAAGTTGTTTTCATCTTTAGGCTGTTGTCAGTAAAGCTGCTGTGAACGTTGGTGCATGAGTATGTTTACATATATTTTTAACACAATAAAATAATAGTAAAAATACCATGGTCTGTATCTTTGGGGGACCCACATATTCATATGACAGATTTGTACTAATTATTAAAGTAGCAGGATGTGTGCTATATTGGTAGCAAGCGCAAGGTGCTGTGTGAAAGACACCATGCCCAATATCCTTTAGCGTGGGTTGCAGGGCTTCAAGGAAGACTTCCAAAATGACATTTGGGAAAATTCTTAAAGCAGGATGAGGTAGTCTCAAGAATAATGCTGGTAGCTAATAGGAGTGGGGGTGAAGAGGGTCAAGAGAGTGGAAAAAGCGTTTCAAACAGAGGAATTTCCATGAGCAAAGGCTTGAAACTGTGCCTAATCCCAGAGGTGATGGTTAATTGTGTGTGAACTTGACTGTGCCACAGGGTGCCCAGGTATTTTGGTCAAACGCTCCTTTGGGTGTGTCTGTGATGGAGATTTTAGATGAGATTTACATCTGAATCTGCAGACTGAGTGAAACAGATTCCTCTCCCAAACGGGATGGGCATCATTCAATCAGTTGAAGGCCCATCTAGAACAAAAAGGCTCACCTTTCTGCAAGTAAGAGGAAACTCCACCTGCCCGGCTGCTGAGCTGGAACATCAGTCATTTCCTGCCTTTGGACTCAAACTGAAACAATGGCTTTTCTGGAACCTGCAGGCTTATGGGCTACAATTTATGGTATCAGCTCTCCTGG